CTAAATTTTTCAAATAGTTTGTCTTTTTTTCGAGTTGTCTAATATTAATAATAATCTAATAATTATTAATTATTTATTTGGATCAGGAGGGGATGTTTAATTACGTATTTAAATAATATATGCCCGTACTGATCCTACTGGTCGATTGCCATTGCGCACTGTACGCGGAACTTCCGTCATATGCTACAATTTTACATTCACTGCGCAAGAAAACTATAATTTGGAGTCTTTTTACGTTAGTTTTCGTCACTTTTTTGTAATTTTTTATAGTTCCGTTGTTTCTTCTTCTTCGTATCTGGACAGTCTACATCTATTCTTCTTCTTTCCTCTAGTTTCTAAATCTTGCGTCGGTTTATAAGTTCCTTCTGTCCGGTAAGTCTGTCCATTCTGGCGTAATTCTTTTGTATTCATTTGGAGTAAATGAATTTTCTTAATTGGGTCTCCCAAGTTTGTGTTTGGACTTTCTTGTTAATTTTCACCAAAAAAATTCCAAGAGACAATAATCCAGTCAATACAGAAGCCACAGCCGACGATTCAGGGTAGGCTTCCTACTTAATTTCTCTATAATACGTTGACTGGATTACTGTCTCTTTCGTAGGATTAGTTTTATATTTTGCAGGATTAAACATTAGAAAATTAGTAAATATATACGTTATTACTAAACGATTATCATTTTCAGTGAATAAAATACCCTGTATACAAATACGTATGTACGTATAGATTGTAACATCTCATTATTTTTTTTACTAATCATTTTGTTTAATGAAAAGGTAAACTATGCGATACAAACGATGTTAGCTACCAAATTTTATTCATTCTTTTACATCCTAATTTATAAAACAAAATTATTACGTATTGTTGTATAAATAAATTATAAGGTACGCTTCCTACATACAAACCATTTATTATTAATAAACAATCAGGTTTTTGCGTATGATTTAAAAACAAATAGCATGTGCACATTTAATTGAATTCTTCCTTAAATTGCTCTTGTACGAATGCGCATCCTATTATTGTAATATTTGTAATTTAAAAAATGGTAGTAATACAAAAAATACTTTTCGTAATCGTAATATTTTTAATATTACTAAAAGTTTCAAGTGAAGCACGTTGCAGGTTGTCCAGACGACGAAGATGCGTCTATACGTAAGGAAAAAGTTTGTAAAATAATATTAAATTAATTTTATCTGATCTCAAACAGTTAAAAGAAACTTATTAACTATATTAATTATTTTACAGGATCAGAAATTAAAATCACGTTAGTACGTAATAAAGAGTGGCGAATTATTTAGTTATGTTGTAGATTGCAAAAACCGAATATGTACAAGATTCATTTGTTGTTGTTAAATGCAGTAACTGAATTGTTACAATAAAGAGAATGTGCACTTATTTGTTATTGCTTTTTTATCCTTTATTATCGTAATAATTATTATTTTCTTGAGTATTTCGTAAAATGGTTGTGCGTCAATTCAAATTTGGCGCCTAAAGCTCCTTGTTTTACAAGAAACATCAAAAACTACTACGAAATAATATAAAACAACGTTTAAAGTAACATTATTTAAAAAAAATCAAAGATAATTAGGTATGTGCATCTAAATAAGCTGAAAATGTTTTATTTTGTATTTACGTGTTATAATAACATCTTTTGACTTTTTAAGGTTAGAATTTATAAATAGTTATGGCTGTCCACTGTTTACTCCTCGCAAAATGTCCAGTTCGAAGTTGATTAGTTGTATATTATGTTTATATTGTTTAAGTATAAGCGCAGGTACTTATTTTTTTACACTTATAGTATTTACTAAACAGTGGGTTGAATTATCTGAGATAATAATTTTATCATTTGTAGAAGTCCTTCACAAGCCTCAATTGAAAGAAGAAAATATACACGATGATGAATCAAAAGATGAGCTAGATCCAGGTGAGCCTCCGCCTCAACTCACCCATAATAGTATTAGCCCATCTAGAGGACATGCAAAGCAGCTTCGATATAAGTGCCATTTGTGTGAAGCACCAGACTGTTCTAATCCAAGTGTATGTATTGATGCCATTCAGTGTTGGAAATCGCGAGTGCGTGAAAGTACTGGCGAAGAAAGTGTCTCTCGTGGTTGCACCACAAACGCTGATCAGTTACCTTTGATGTGTCGGACCCCTGCATTTGTTGCCCAACACAAAAGACATGCTGTGGGTCAATATCATATGAGATGTTGTGTGGGAGATTTCTGCAATAATGGTCCCTTTCCTGACTTGCCCCCTCTTTATACATCAGACATGAATTCATACTCAAATACATTAAATTACATTTTGAAACTTGTACTTGCAGTACTAGCCCCAGTATTAATATTAGGTGTGTTGGGAGCAATTGTTTTGTCAATTATGAGGAAAATTCACAGACATAGACTTCGTTGTCAATCTAAACAAGATCCTGAAACATACTATGCAACAGATGATTTGTTAAGAGCCACTGCTGCAGGAGATAGTACATTAAGAGAATATCTAGAACATTCATTTACTTCAGGAAGTGGTTCGGGATTACCATTATTAATACAAAGGACACTGGCCAAACAAATTTCTATTATTGAATGTATAGGAAAAGGGCGTTATGGTGAGGTTTGGAGAGGTATTTGGCACGGGGAGAATGTTGCAGTTAAAATATTCTTCTCAAGAGATGAAGCCAGTTGGATCCGAGAAACTGAAATTTACAGGTACCCAGTATAGGTTTATTTTCTTTATAATAGGCATTAGAACACTAGGAACTTATTTGTTTTCAAAATATACTGAAAATTATGTTGGTTTATCTTAAGAATCTTAATAAAACTTTCTTACAATTAATATTGTAAATGCACTTAAAAATAGTGAAAAAATTGGAATACAGTCAGGCAATAAAAACAATTTTTGTTAATAATTTTTAACTTTTCTTTGCAGTACAATTTTGCTTCGGCATGATAACATATTGGGTTACATTGGATCAGATATGACATCAAGGAACTCATGTACACAACTGTGGCTTGTTACTCACTTTCACTCATTTGGAAGTCTGTATGATTATTTGAATAGGACAACATTGACACACCAACAACTACTTAGAATTTGTATATCCATAGCAAATGGTCTTGTGCACCTTCACAGTGAAATATTTGGCACACAAGTGAGTTTCTGTTGGAATTTTTAAAGACTTTGTAATGATTGCATTAATATTTAAATTTATTGAAATCTATTTAGAAAAAAAGAGTACTAATTAATTTGAACTTTAGGGAAAGCCAGCGATAGCGCACAGAGATATTAAAAGTAAAAACATATTAGTGAAAAGCAATGGTATTTGCTGCATAGCAGATTTTGGTTTGGCTGTGACTCATGTGCAATCAACTGATCAATTGGACCTAGGTTCAAATCCACGAGTGGGCACAAAACGTTATATGAGTCCGGAAGTTTTAGACGAATCGTAAGTTACAAGGAGTAGCTGTAATTGTTTAATTGCTAACTGCCTGCTATTACAGTTAACTTTTCTTTTAAAGAAGGGTATTTATTAAATTTACTTTGCTAGAATACGAATGGAATGCTTTGACTCGTTTCGTCGTGTGGATATTTATGCATTGGGTTTGGTGTTTTGGGAGGTTTGCAAAAGAACGGTAAGTAATGGTATAGCCGAAGAATATAAACCGCCATTTTACGACGTTGTTCCGAGCGATCCCAGCTTCGAAGACATGAGAAAAGTAGTCTGCATCGACCAGCAAAGGCCTTTTGTTCCCAACAGATGGAGCAGTGATCCTGTAAGTTTTTTTTTACGTTTACCGTTTTTATTATCTATCAAATATTAATATTTCGTGCATTTAATGTTCCCTAGATTAATAATATGATCTTAGCGTATTACCTGAAAGCTATTAAACATAGAAACTTGAAATTTGGCATGATTTGAATAAGTTTCATAAAGCAAAAGGCTTTTTCGCATTATTATTTTAAAAAAAATTGTAATATATATACAAGAAATTATGAGTACTGTCACCACAGGGCAATGTACTATTACGTAGTTAGTATCAGCAATTTGTTATGTTGAAGTGTACGATGTGTTGCATACCTATTTACAAACAATTTAATTTTTCAAACAAATTTTAACACAAAGAAAGTGATTAAACAAATTATTCACAAAAGTGAATTTCGACCACTCGAAGCACAGTAACTGACAGGGGGGAACAACTATAACTTTAAAATTTATAAAAGTTGCGAATGGGCCACGACATATGTCAAACAGTATACTAGTTGTAAAACTTCTGGCGAGTGTTTTCTAACAGTTTAGCTGGAATATTGTTTGTCGTTTTACTATTTTTATGTTTGAAACTAAATACGTATGTTCAAACGAAACGGCGCATTATAATACACAATATACCACATTAGGTATTGTATGCCCCTAGCTTTTTAATGCTGTTATTCTGTACCTAATTGTGTAAATAATTTTTTATAGTCTAATTTTATCATGGGGGCTACAATATGAAAGATGCTAAAAAGAGGCGATTTCGTTCTTTTTTGCTTTTCGGGCGCTGTCCACATGACTATAAAAGTACAAGGA